TAATGATTATCTAGAAATATATTTGCCGATTTTGTTAATTTGTTTTTATAAATTTGGTGATTTATTATTATTTAAAAATGGTGTAATAAATTAATTTAATAATACTTAGCCAAACAAGAGTATTTAGAATAGTATTTTTGAAAAAGTTGAATTAAGTTGTTATTACGAGAATAGAATTTTTTGAAAATGTGTTTGGTAAATTTTGGAAAACATTTTCTGAAAACATTTAGATTTTTTTTTAATCCCCTACATTTGTTAATTTAGCTAAACATCACCTACAATAAAAGTTTTAAAATAACAAAACAGCCATACCCAACCATTAAATGCCGACAATCAGCCACCACTGCCGGATGGTGGCCAAAAGTCGTCCGAATGGCGCACTACCGGCTAGATCTGGTCGATAGTGCACCGATTTGGTCTTTTCCGGCCAGATCCACTATGGATGATCTAGCCGAAAAAGGCCAGATCAGCGCACGAACGACCACATCTAGTCGGTCGTGCGCCATTCCGACAGATTCCAACCACTTTCCGCTGGTGATGGCCGACTGTCGGTAATATGTGGGTAGGTAAGAGTGTTTTTGTCCATTTATAAACTTTTATTATTGAGAGTGTTTAATTAAATCAACAAACCTAGAGAGTTAAAAAAATCTAATTATTTTGAGTTGAATAGAATAAGACTGGATTTTGAAAATATTGAAACAAATATATATTTTGAATAGGATAGTATTTGGAATATTGAAACAAACATAACCACTTAATTTTATCAATTTTTTATTAATATGTAATTTAGATTTATAATATTGATAAAATATTTATTATTTTGATAATGATTTTGTTGACTCAAGGAGTTATCATTCTGATAAGAAACTGTACCCCTAAGCATATTTATTAATAACTTTTGCTCAAGGGTAGACTTAGATGACAAGTAAGTTTCCCAATGTATTCCAAGATTTATCAAGAAGCAAAAAAGACAAAGCTTGGAAGAACTTGGAGGAATTCAAGAAAGCTCAGTCTAATTATATTTTCCTTGTAATCAATTTAAAAGTATAAAAGCATGAGTTTTGGTTAGAAAAATTATTTACATATGAAAGCTCTAAAAAGATTGTATTTGGGGTTTTTCAAATTTTGGACCTAAATGTCACTTTTCGAAAAATAGGGTTTAAACAAAATTTACCAGGTTTTAAATCTTCATAGTTTAATTCATTAGGTCAACCGAATAAGCTGCCTATTGTTGATCTTCAATTATGGGCTAAAATATCATGTTTCAAAGTTGGAGGCTTAAATTGATATTTGGCAGAGTTTTAAAATATTGTAATTTAACCCATTAGGTCAACCGAATAAGCTACAAAATGGTTATCCTATTAGGACAAATGCATTACAAAATGCCTTGTCAAAAGGACGACTATTAGGTCGACCAAGTAGTCTGTTAGGATGACCGTATGCACCATTAAGTCAACCTAATGTCAATTGGGAGTTATAACGACTAGTAACACATCAGTAATAGATCGATTGAATGATGTGAACAGGAAACTCATTTTGTGCATTACTGCTATTTTTTTAGGATTTTGTATATAAACCCAGCCCAATCATATTGAATCAACTTTTGTCACTCTAAACTTACAAAAACATCAAACCAAAGGTATTCAATCATTCTAAAGTTTTCACTTGCAAATTTCTCATTCTAACCTGAAACACTTGTTGTACCATCACTGGTATACTTTGTATATTAGGTTGTATTGTGATAAAAACTTTTTCATTCATTCTATTAAAAGAGTTATCAATGTTGTAATAAATTAAATTTCGAATTGTAAGAGAGTGGGTTTCACTCTTGGGGCCTTAAGCGTTTGTAGTGAAAGAAAGTCCTAATGGTTGTGAGAAATTTAATTGACACCTTGAAGTCAATTGGGTTGAAGCATTAGATAAAACACTTGTGTAAAGGTTTAGTTCCACTCTAGAAGTCAACTTGTATGAAAAAGATCTTAGTCTTGGTTGAAGACTAAGTGAGCTAGTAGAATGTTCCAAGGGAGATGGCTTGGTTGAGTGGACGTAAGCCAAGTTTGGGGCGAACCACTATATATCTTTGTGTTTGATTTTTTTATTTTCCTTACTCTCTTTACTTTGTGCAAGTACTTGTTCATATTTGCTTGCTCATAATTGTTCACATTCACAAAGTGCACTAGAATAGACTCTTAAGTCACTAATTATCTAAAATTTGTGCATAAGGTTAAAAACTGACCCTGGGTCTAAAGGCTTAATTCAACCTGCCCCCTTCCCCCCTCTCTTATGGCCATTCGATCCTTCAAATTTAATAAGAGTAAAATGAATATTTCACTAGTCAAAAGTCAAAAAATTAAAGGTAGTACAATAATTGAGCCATCTACAGACTACAGCTATGTCAGAATCCAAACACTGCCGACAGAATTTCGTTTTGGGTAAGGGCATTTGTAGATTTAAGATTCAAGGGGTGACAACTGACAACTTGTATTTCCCAAAANAATAGGATAGTATTTGGAATATTGAAACAAACATAACCACTTAATTTTATCAATTTTTTATTAATATGTAATTTAGATTTATAATATTGATAAAATATTTATTATTTTGATAATGATTTTGTTGACTCAAGGAGTTATCATTCTGATAAGAAACTGTACCCCTAAGCATATTTATTAATAACTTTTGCTCAAGGGTAGACTTAGATGACAAGTAAGTTTCCCAGTGTATTCCAAGATTTATAAAGAAGCAAAAAAGACAAAGCTTGGAAGAACTTTGAGGAATTCAAGAAAGCTCAGTCTAATTATATTTTCCTTGTAATCAATTTAAAAGTATAAAAGCATGAGTTTTGGTTAGAAAAATTATTTACATATGAAAGCTCTAAAAAGATTGTATTTGGGGTTTTTCAAATTTTGGACCTAAATGTCACTTTTCGAAAAATAGGGTTTAAACAAAATTTACCAGGTTTTAAATCTTCATAGTTTAATTCATTAGGTCAACCGAATAAGCTGCCTATTGTTGATCTTCAATTATGGGCTAAAATATCATGTTTCAAAGTTGGAGGCTTAAATTGATATTTGGCAGAGTTTTAAAATATTGTAATTTAACCCATTAGGTCAACCGAATAAGCTACAAAATGGTTATCCTATTAGGACAAATGCATTACAAAATGCCTTGTCAAAAGGACGACTATTAGGTCGACCAAGTAGTCTGTTAGGATGACCGTATGCACCATTAAGTCGACCTAATGTCAATTGGGAGTTATAAGGACTAGTAACACATCAGCAATAGATCGATTGAATGATGTGAACAGGAAACTCATTTTGTCCATAACTGCTATTTTTTTAGGATTTTGTATATAAACCCAGCCAAATCATATTGAATCAACTTTTGTCACTCTAAACTCGCAAAAACATCAAACCAAAGGTATTCAATCATTCAAAAGTTTTCACTTGCAAATTTCTCATTCTAACCTGAAACACTTGTTGTACCATCACTGGTATACTTTGTATATTAGGTTGTATTGTGATAAAAACTTTTTCATTCATTCTATTAAAAGAGTTATCAATGTTGTAATAAATTAAATTTCGAATTGTAAGAGAGTGGGTTTCACTCTTGGGGCCTTAAGCGTTTGTAGTGAAAGAAAGTAAGTCCTAATGGTTGTGAGAGATTTAATTGACACCTTGAAGTCAATTGGGTTGAAACGTTAGATAAAACACTTGTGTAAAGGTTTAATTCCACTCTAGAAGTCAACTTGTATGAAAAAGATCTTAGTCTTGGTTGAAGACTAAGTGAGATAGTAGAATGTTCCAAGGGAGATAGCTTGGTTGAGTGGACGTAAGCCAAGTTTGGGCCGAACTACTATATATCTTTGTGTTTGATTTTTTTATTTTCCTTACTCTCTTTACTTTGTGGAAGTACTTGTTCATATTTGCTTGCTCATAATTGTTCACATTCACAAAGTGCACTAGAATAGACTCTAAGTCACTAATTATCTAAAATTTGTGCATAAGGTTAAAAACTGACCCTGGGTCTAAAGGCTTAATTCAACCTGCCCCCTTCCCCCCTCTCTTAAGGCCATTCGATCCTTCAAATTTAATAAGAGTAAAATGAATATTTCACTAGTCAAAAGTCAAAGAAGTAAAGGTAGTACAATAATTGAGCCATCTACAGACTACAGCTATGTCAGAATCCAAACACTGTCGACAGAATTTCGTTTTGGGTAAGGGCATTTTTAGATTTAAGATTCAAGGGGTGACAACTGACAACTTGTATTTCCCAAAAAGTAATATTACACTTACAAAGAAATTTTACAAAGATCTTTATACAAAATGATATGACAAAAAATGAATGGAATAGTGAATTTAATGAACTTTACTTTTTGTTTAGCTCTTCCATTCATTTTTTGCCACCTCACTTTGTATGAAAATCTTTGTAAGATTTCATTGTAAGTATAGTATTATTGTTTCCCAAAACACTAGGGTGGGAATAAGAATTTCGGCCAAAAATAACACCAGTTTTTTTTGCAAGAATTAAGGCAGCATTAAATTTATGCCATATATTATGCTTTTTCTTTTATCATTCCTAGTTAGACCTGAGAATTTGAAATATATACATATTGAATGCACTTTGAATGGTTAAGATCTAATATACTTTGCATTTTAATGCATCTTAAAAATCACCCAACTTATATTTAATATCAAGCATTCGAGTGCATTTATTCAGTGACTCAATATTGCGTAAAAAATTGAGGCTATTGAACCTAACTCTATATAATATATAGATCCTAATAAATTGAATGAAACTTCAAACAAGATCACTGATTATTATAAATGGTATTTATTATAAATGTCAGAATTTCAAAGGAGGTTTCAATTAGTTGCCTCTACTAATGCACAAAGGAATAAAATTTCATGTCATCTTAAGGCAGAATATGTCACATATTAAAAATGAAAGCGATAGGCACTGGTTTTTCCAAGATCATTTTGTTATAAGAGCAAGCAGAGTTGGTCTACAAAATAACTAATATAATAATCTAAAAATAAATTACATCCTGTTCTCACACAATCACAACCAAAACTGTTCAAATATTCAAAGATGGATGGTGCTTTTATTTAAAACAAATTTTAGCAGACATGGCTGTATCTGATTATTTACTTAACTTTTTTTTTTTTCCTGTGATAATGAAATACCTGTCTCCAAGCAATATGTATCTTCCAACTAGGTACTATAATTCTTTAACTCCAACATGCCACCCGCCAGTCCCACCTTCGATGATGTTTGCATCTTACAGATTTGTCTTTGGCTTGCTGCCTGCAGAGACACGCCTTGTGACAGATCGCATTGTCACAAATTCCTCAGCAGAAGATGGGTGAATACCCACCTGTAGTGACACCATGAAATACGAAGTAACAGGGATTAGTCCTAAAAAGTCTAGATGAACTAGTCCTTGGAAACTAAATATATGAAAAGACATCTATCAAAAATGATAAAAGACTACTTTTAGTAGTTTAGAGGATTCATATTTGCTTACAACAATGACACAATAGTTTACATGTCACTCATACTCTGGCATTTTGAGACTTTAGTATCGCATCAAAACAAAGTACATTCAGAAGACAAAAATAAATTCTTGTGTTGCTATTATAGCTGTTAAGGCAAATGTTCAACATTGAAGGCAATAACTTAAACCTAGCTTTAAAGGACACTGAGGCTTACCGTGCTGTCAAACTGTGCCTTAGTTGCTCCACATTTCAGTGCAACAGCAATACCCTGTGAAAAGGATCCCCAAATTGATATCAGAACTTATGAAAGAGTGGGGGGTGGCTATTGTGTTGGTTTGCTGGTGTGTGTGGGGAGTTGAGAGTTATATCCAAAACTACAGAGTTTAAAGTATTTAGGACATGTTAACTTGGCTGATTTAACAAGGTAATGGGAATTCCCTTGTTTACTCAGAATTAAGAAATGGGGAGTCCCCATTCCTTAAAAATTTGTGATCAAGATTCCTTCAAAATTTTGAAGGAATCCTTGATTCAGGGAGTTAAGGAATGGGTCTAATTATTTTTTTTACCCTGTTTTAAATTTAAATTTCCTATTTTATCCCCTTAGAAAATTTATTTGTGATTTAATAATTATTAAATTAAAATATTGATAAAAAATAGGTTACTGTTGCCATCTTCCCAGTATCAAATGAACTGAGTTAACAACCACAAACATACCTGCATTATCTCTGCTGCATCTGGCCCACACATAGAAGCTCCCAAAACTTTATCTGTCTCACCGTCCACAACTAGCTTCATTACAGTCTTCTCTTGCCGTCTAATAGCAAATTATATGAAAGTATAGACAAAACATAATAAACATCAGAGTTCCATGTATAACATATACATCTAAGAAAATTTAAGGCAAAACACTAGAAATTAACTGAAAGAATTTAGTCAACCTATTGCAAAGTAAACATCATTGACTACATGAAAAATTGCATAATTTTCTTATGCGAACCAATTTATTATATAGCCAAAGAATATGTTAGCTGTTATTAACTTCATAATCCATCTTGAAGTGATAATCACTCTTGACTTGTGGACATTCTCAACCCTTTATTTCGATCCCTTTCCAATTATTAGAAAAGTTATTCGTGGCAGGACAAATTAGTCTCCAAAGACACAATATACAAATGTAGAAGGTAGATATAGAATGTCCGAAGGTACAGCGAGACAAAATATTCAATGGACTGATTGCCTTTGATGTTATTCGATATTATCAAATAAATAAAGGCATTCAAAACTAATCAATTGGTCAGCTACTCGCACAAGTCCAATAACTGTTGAGTGCTGTAGGATCTCTTCAGAGACATAATAAATGCTGACAAAGCACACATTTCCCAACAAAGAGGTTTTAACCTGTAATTCTTTTATGCATGATTCTCAAATAGTTTGAAAATCTTTTCCGTTGTACAATTATGAACTATTTATTCACTCAAATGAGATCTCAAGTCACCATACGTACCCAGAGACAGTGTTCCTCAACGGATTGAAGCTTGATGTGAAAACCAAAATATCACCCTTTGCTTGCTCTATGGCCTGCTCCTCACTGAGACCAACTAAAGATAGAGGAGGTATGCTGCATATGGCAAATCACAGAAGATAATCATCCACAAGGGAAAAGAAAGAAAACAGAAGAAATTCGTTTTCCAGAGATTTTCTACTCAATACAAACATAGATTAAAAGTTAGTGCAAGCAACCAAAAAGGTACTACAGTATAATAGAGTCCATGACTTAACACTAACAATTAGGTGCATTTAAAAACTAATGGTAATATCAATATTTCTTGCACTTTAAGGTGAGTCCCCATTAGCCCCAAGCACTTTCAATTAAACCAATCTGCCCTGCACTCTTCTAATTAAAAGAAAAAAAAAAAAATTCAAGCTCCTATGATAAAGCATTCCTATTTAAGCTGAGAGTGCCCGAGATTCCGAACTATAAAAATGCCATTGAAATACAAACAAGTCCAAACTGAATGGAGGAGCACTTCAAGCGATAATGCATCTTTATAACAAGAGTGGTGTTACATATATAAAGTTTTGTATACAAAGTGATGTGTCATTACTCTTATGTTACCATGCTATTCAACCTCATTTATTAAAGTTGACTTTTAAATTAATTCATCTATTCATTATGTGCTATATCATTTTGTATGCAAGACTTTGTACGCAAACTTTGTGCCAAACAGACAAGTTGCAGTTCAGATCTCAACCGATGGTACATTATTATTCATAAGGTAGTCAAACATACATTAATATAATTATAACTGATAATATGTCAAAGAAGGGCAAGTGACAGGAACAAAAGAAATAGAAACGAGGGGAACGAAAAGACAGAGGCCACGTCTTTTAAAAGTGACAAACTGTTACCTAAATACAGCACAGGGTATGCTGGTGTAGTCTGGTTTGCAGGATTCCCCACCAAAAACAGTTTTCTGCAAGCAATGCAAATGAAATAACTCTTTGAAAAATATGTAATAATTTTTTCATACCAAAGAAATGAAAATAAAAGATGACAGACTTGATGAATATAAATATAAGCAGTTCAGATGAAACACATACTGCAAAGCATGTTCCTTCCATCAAGGCCACAGGGGTAAGATTCATTCGATTTGTTACATCACCAACAGCCCAGATACTAGGTACGTTAGTGCGTGAGTACTCGTCTACCTGCAAAAGAATGAAGGGTAAAGATATTATTGATGTTATTACTTGACATCATTGAATAGCACTGTATTATAAAAATAGATGCACAGTTAAACCCTGTAAAATATGGTAACAAAAAAAAAAGTTCAACAACAAACATCCCATACAAAGCCGCTTAATAAAAAATATACCAGCTATAGTTAACAAACCCAACAATGTACTCATACACTGCAACACTTTTTCTCCATTCTAGCCCAATCTCACAGACCTTATCTGCGTTTGACACCAGCCTGACCAGTGTCAGTTTGTGGCCNTGTTACATCACCAACAGCCCAGATACTAGGTACGTTAGTGCGTGAGTACTCGTCTACCTGCAAAAGAATGAAGGGTAAAGATATTATTGATGTTATTACTTGACATCATTGAATAGCACTGTATTATAAAAATAGATGCACAGTTAAACCCTGTAAAATATGGTAACAAAAAAAAAAAAAGGTTCAACAACAAACATCCCATACAAAGCCGCTTAATAAAAAATATACCAGCTATAGTTAACAAACCCAACAATGTACTCATACACTGCAACACTTTTTCTCCATTATAGCCCAATCTCACAGACCTTATCTGCGTTTGACACCAGCCTGACCAGTGTCAGTTTGTGGCCTCAAACGAGTTTTGAAAATTAGCAGTCTGCTAAAACTAAGAGAACTTTGCGTTCTTCCAGCTTAAACTAGTTACAAAAAATAGGAATAATTCTATACAGATCCAAAACTAAGCAATAAAAGCATCAAGTGTCTTTAGCAAATAAAAAAGACTCCAGGTGCCTCTGCACATATCAATAAATGCCTCATAACCCTTTCAAAAGTCTTTGGGTTAGATATTCATAAGCCCTCTTGGGTTGTATCCGCAGACACGGAAAGGGATGTTTTTATGTTAGCAACAGAAGCAAAGCTCATGGAACGATATTTCATCTGCTTAGATAGCACAATTTTATTTACATAATCCATATAAGATGACAGTCAAAACCTATTTCTGAAAAAGACCAATCCTTGTAATTCACAGAGGTCGGTAATTGTTAAATATATAAATTAAACAACTAGAAAAGTTGACAGGTATGTAACAACTGAAGGAGATATGTAAGCAAATTTCAAGCAAAATTAGTAACAAGCATTCTGTAAAGAAAAATGAACAGGAGAAAACTAGTGACCTTCACAGCTCCTGTCTCATCAACTTCCACGCCAACAGCTTTCAAATTCAACCTTTTTGAATTAGGTATCCTACCTGTTAGAAAGGAAAGAACATTAATGGTGTCTAAAAAGCAGTAAGTCAAAAAAATCCTTTCTTTTGAGAGGGAGGGAGGAGTAGCTTGTATCAGGTGTCGTACCTGTTACACACCTCATTCATGAAATAACCTCTAATAATAGTAATTTTACTAATAGGATAACTGAAAGAATTACTCCCGATTATTTGAAGCAGTACAGGCAGTGACTTACATTACTTTATGAACCAAAATCACAAAAAATACACACCAAATTCTATAAATAAGCTATCTTACAAATAAAATTCGGGTCTGTAGGTTTCTTTGCAAACATGAATGAAATAAATACCAGCATGGAGATGATAGATATGCATGTACTTGTATGTGCATGTGCGTGTGCACGGAGAGAGAAAGAAAGAAGAGAGGCGGCATGTAAATTTCTTTGGCAAACATTCATGACACAAAATACCATCAGGTAGAATACAGAGATAAATAAAGTATGCAAGTGTATGTTAGTAGGGATTTACAGATAAAAGCATGAAAAAGCCAGAATCTTTATTACAGAATGATACATATACATACATGCATGTGTTTAGAGAGAGAGGAAAGGGGGCATCTAAATCAGCTGATAAATACTGGCAGACAATAAATAGATAGTTCTGTACATATGTATGTGTAAGCATGCATAGGGAGAGAGAGGAGACATGGTACTTGGTGCAGGACAAAGTGGAAAATTCAAATAAAATAAATATAAAAGAACAATTAAAAGCAACCCTTGCAAGGGGGGTTCTAATAGTTTTTTAGGTATTTTTTATTAATATTATTTATACAAAATTTACCAAAAACTTCCTTATTTAGGAGGAAATTTTAATACTTTGAAACAATTAGTTTATAACTATAATTTAAGGATCTTTTAAGAGAGATCCATAATAATTACACTAAAACCATAAAGAAAAACCAGAATCTTTACAACAGAATCATAACACGTGAATTATCTTGACAGGATGAGCTGCATGAGCAATTTCTAAACTGGATAATTCTTACCAGTGGCAAAGAGTACAACATCTGCCATCAATTCTTCACCATGATCTGTAATAACTTTTATGCCGTCCTCTGTTTTAATCAACTGAATTTATAGATATTAGTATCGGCATATGATCGTATGCAAAAAATGAAAAAAATAATCATTAAGAAGATTGAGAACAGAAATCTGTGTATAAAAATTTGCAGGAAAATAAATGCAAGTCATGTAAATAAGGGAAATTTCAAGAAGTACCTCCTTTATAGTTGTCCTTGGGTGCAAATTAATTCCTCTACCTTCCAGATTTCTAGCAACCACTGCTCGCATTTCATCATCAAAACCTCTGCAGATCACAAAGTAGATAGTGATGTCAACCAACTCAAGTAATAGGAAATGCCATACTCGTCTGTAACTTCCCGTTATCATCCACAAGTCGAGACAAGGACATCATGAACAAGTTACAAGCTACTTTCTATTTCAATCAAGAATTCACAGGGAGAAATTGAGAAGCAAGCACAAGGAAAAGGTGCCTATTGCTGGTAGCATACTCTCGATAGCATGCATTTGATAGCTAAGAAATATGTGGGCTCCCTACTATAAGTCATAAAAAAAAAAAGGTTATGTAATTCGGCTCTTGAATAAGGAACACATTCCTATTATGACATGGTTCACATCATCATAAATGACAGTGTCAGTAAATATGGACATGCCTGTAATCAGCTGCATTTATGGGTAAAAGAACATCAAAAAGTTGATGGCAAAAGGACTATACTATGTTCATTTTCTCAACATCTCCATAGTTATTCAAAAATTTCACCAAAACAGCTTTCAAATGATCATAATTTCCAAGCATCAAACCCCACCAGGTTTCAAACAAGCACAAATTAAACTACCATAGTGAATTTCGAACTTAAATTTTAATAATAAAAACCTTTACAATTTTTTTTTCTTTGATAGGAAACATAGAAATGCATATTAATCAAAAAAACTTAGAAAGTGAAATCCGCTCCTACAAAAGTAGCCCAAGCTTTACAAGTAGTATCATGAGCCTCTGCAAAAAGAAACCCAAAAAATGAGAGACACTATAGCATGGACAAGTCCTAAAAACCAGATTTATCTCACTACACCTAACCAATTAAGATGGATAAAGAAAAAACAGGTGTCCTCAAAGTCTTTTGAGACAAAGACCCAAAGAGATGCCAAGAGCCTGATCTTATCCCATAAAAACCTCTGCAATTATATTAATGCAGCAACTTGTGACACATTAATGACGATCAATTAATGTTAGAAGCTCCATTTTGAAGATCAAATGACTGGCATCCGAAAGTGAAAAGCCTGAATAATAACCTTAACGGGAGTTCTTTTCTGAATAATAGATCCACAGTAGAACCCATACCGCGCCATATGGAAGCAAACTCAACAGCAATGTACCTAAATAACAAGAGATGATAATCATGGATGCCAAGAAAATGAGTAAAAACAATAATAATCAAAGTATAAATAGACAGAATCCTGTTAGAAATAAGAGTCGCACCCTCCCCCAAGGATCACAGCGCGCTTGGGTAATTCTTCCAGGCTCAATGCCTCATCAGAGGTTATAGCCAGCTCCTACATATTCAAAAGCAAAAGATGAACAAAGAACAAAGAAGTTAATAAAATTAATATCTCACAAGAAAATGACCAGTAATTAGTTTCAAGATCATAAATTTAAGTTCAACATCTTATATCCAGCACTAGTTGAAATTAAAAAAACAATTAAACATGAAGGTATACTTGGTATATTGATGGGAACCCTTCCTGTTGAATCAGACTCCACACAACCACACGCGGGAGCAGTGCACAATATAGAGATATGACAGAATTTAAGGGAACCAAAATGGTATATTTCATATATGAATCAGAGTAACAATGGAATAGCAGTAAACAGAGATGAAATTAAGAGATCGAATATGGATCCTAGCACTTCGAGGAGCTAGGGACCTCCCAACCAATTTCCAGAATTCACTCAATACCCACACTCTCCCACACTCTTTAGCTATATACATTTCTTCTTAGCTAGACACGCGTATATTCCTCTAACTGCCTCCCTTAACCAATTCCCTTTCACACTCTTTACACCCTTGCCCATAACGTCTTTTACACCCCGCTGCCCTTCAGTTTATTTCCCCCTTTATACTTATAAACTTTGTGAATGGGAGGTGTATCATATATCAAGCTGAAAGGGTGTAGAAGAGGAATTGCATGAAATGCTGCAAAACAATATGCTTAAATATATAACTTCACATCAATTAAGATAACCAGAAACTGAAGCTCACAAAACACTTAAGTTGTTAAATAGAAGTGATTGGTAACTCCCTTCAAGAAGAACTTATGCTAGAGCGGCTAGAAAAAGGTAAAAGCACTTGTTTGGATTGCATGTGTAAAAGTGTAAAAGTAAAGTTCATAAATTCTTATAGATAAATGAGTTTATGCATGTACATATATGCAACAGCATGCACCAGATCTTCAATGGCATTATGAACTAGAATTACATGCATAGTATGTGCTTAACATTTTAAACCTAGTTGCAAACTGACCAAGAGAAGCCATTATACCTATTATACCGGATCAATTCCAAAATATACAGAACTGAGATCAAGAAATTTACCTGCCCAGAAATTGGAGGACGCTGAGCCCTACTTCCAGTTGCAATCAATATGTGTTTTGCTGTGTAGCACAACTTAGTACCATCTAGTTGTGTAACCTCAACTTCATTAGGACCAACTATCTTTCCCTCTCCTTCATATAATTTAACACCAGAATTTGACAACATTCGCTTGTAAATTCCATTTAATCTTACTATTTCATCTGTCTGCAAATTTGAAAGAAAAAGAAAAAAAAAATGGGGAAATCAAATGTTGCATACAAAAAAGAGTGATACTATATCAACGTAATTGCATGATTTACTCTGAAAAACTATCAAAGGAACGGAAGGAGAAAAAACAGGTACTGAAAGAAGTATAAGAAATGAACACAATATTTCTAAACTAAATTCTTCTTTAAGAGCTCCACAGTTCCAAACATGATAGAAGAAAAAATTAATTTACGAACCAGAAATATTTAAACTATCCTATGCTACAAACTTGATGCAAAGCTCTTAAGGACTAGGAAGCTAACAAATCAAATTATCCAACAAATAAATTTAAAATATGATGAAAAAATTTTCAAGAACCGACTTTGTTATAACTTGGATCCAATTGCAAGACAAAAATTCTGGACCTGATAATACAACATTATAGAACTGCATATCTCCTTTCAGAATGTTAGATGAAAACTCTTTTCATGCTAAATTGTCAGAGCTTTGGACTAGCAAATTAACAATCTCACCGGTATGTTAACATTTTTACTGTTCTCTTTTTCAGTTTTCCAGCCTTCGAAAACTGAGGAGCACTTGTTTGGCTCTAATTACCATTTTATAAAACGAAAAATGATGAAACCATTTTAGACCATTTCTTCATTACAGTGTTCCTCTTTTGCATCCCATTCTTCCTCAAAAAATTTCTACTTCATTTTTTAATTAGTTTTTCCACAAATAATTGTGTTGCGAATTCTAATCTTTTTCAAAATATAAATAAATTATTGTAATAAATATAAAATAATTATATTTACAATTTTTTTTTTTTTTTTTTTTTTTTTTTTTTGGTTCTTCTTTTACAGAACCTAGCGAAACAAATTTTTTATTTTCATTTTTAGAAATATTATTTCCAAACCATAATACCAACACATTCTCAAATCCAAAAAGTACATAATTGAATTCTCTATTTTCATTTTGCAGTTCATTTTTAATATAAAAAGAATTTACCAATATGGGCCCCAAATTTTAAGTAAAATGGAGTGAAGAAAAATAAAGAACCAACTGTTTCATGACACACATCTAGTTATATCAAAGCAGAACTTCATGACTTGCATGTCCCTTATTCTAAAAATAGAAAAAGATAAAAAGTGACCAGTGGTCAGATGAAATATCTACATCCAAAAAAATCAACATTACACTATCTCATTCCTTACCCAAAATGCATAAGTTTTAAAACTTTTTTCATGCTCAATTATCAAATAATCCCTCATGAGAATTGCTTTTTTGTCTTTCTTTCACTGAGAAACTGATCCAAACCAAGGAAGAAAAGAGAAACTTGTAAGAATATAGGGGAAAATAAAACAAAAAAGCCTTGTTCTTGTACATAAAGCTCATTTTTATGGAATTGTACATATAACTCGCTTGTCATCTACAAAATATAGATTATCCAAATTTAATTATATAGATTAGATCAATATCTGTGGTAAAGCTAATTTTAAATCAACAATTTTTTTTTTTTTTTTTACAGGATCACATTAACATTTTTTCATTTATTCGCCAAACCTGCTGCTAAAAGAGTAACAATAGAAGGGCGCTAAACATGAGGCAAAATTACAAAACTCAAAAATGAAGGAAAAAGAACATATATATAAATCCAACCTTCTTCTGCAAAAGTTTTTTCCAGTTGAAGTCAACTTTTTCGTTCACCTCCCATCCATAATTCCTAGAATCCTACAAATAAAAAATGACAGAGTTATCAAATATTTTTCTTTAAATATATATAGTTATTATCAAATGAGACATGAAAATACAAAACTGAACCATAGGTCCACAGAGAAATCCAAAACAGCCCCTCTGTAAGGAAAAAATAGTTACATTGGAACACTAAACTTATCTACATCCCTGAACAGTATGCCATCCCAAGAACTATAAAATAAGACACCCCAAAATACAACATTCAACCTAGACCCCTTCCCAATTCAGTTCGAGGACAAAAAATGAATTGTCCTTAAACTCCTTACCAAAAAAGCCCAAAGCAAGTTTGTCACATAGACTATAAGCTCTTTGTTTCCTTTTCCTTAAAAACTGTGACTCTTTTTTACTTGCCAAATCACCCACAACAGAGCAGGATTGAACACTTACATAATGTCTTAGACATCTTTCCTTTTCCAAAGTGATAAAGTATTATCCATAAGTAAACTTCAGAAAGGGAAAGAGCCTTCTGAAAACTTTTTACTGCTTTTCACATTTTTCCCAAAGAGAAGATGTAAAATTGTAGTCAACTGTCTCTTCACTTCTTCTACACACCATGAGGGAGAAAATATCATCTTAGGATATCTTATTTGAATAATCTCCACTGTGCTTATCTTTCATTCACCATTGTCTATGAAACAATCTTGATATTTAGGGGGAACTTAAAGTTTCCAAACACTTCTAAGTCGCTTAAACTGAGAGACATCTTCAATCAACCTCAACAAGTTTAATTTGCAAGTAAACTTGTGCGAGGCATCAAGTTTACTTATTCTCCTATCTTCCTTCATCTCATTCAATGGATAGGTGGTGGCACACAAAACTGGCTCCACATAGTATTGATATGTTCTTCTCAAACTCTAAATTTGTGATTATAAGATGAGGAAAAAAACCACTCCAATTTTAATTCAATTTTTATCTTAACTACATAATCCATAAAGGTGGGGAACTGGAACTGGTCACACAGTCATCAAAATTATTTTAATGACATAGGATAAATAAAACTTTGTGAAATACTTTACCAAATTTGAAGGATTACCTCAAACCAAGATACCAAAGGAAAAAGAATGTGTCCATGACCAATTGGTGGCATAAGTAAAGCCATCATATTTTTTGCATAACAATCTTAATCAAATTCAACATTATATGGTGTAACCGAACTTAAATAAGCTACTAGATTCCTAGAGGAAAAATTATCAAATCTTCTGAAGGCCCATACAAAGATATTATTCTGATAGGAAGTAAGAATTTAGTTTACAGTATAGAGAAAATCCTGCAGACAGGAAAAAAAAAAAAAAAAAAAAAAAAAAAAACCCTGAAAGAATTAAAAAATTAAGAAAAAAATAAGATCTAAGCAATGCCAAAATGACAGGTCCTAAACTCCCATTCAATGAATAAATTAAGTTCATAAGTGAATCATTTCAATGAATAGAAGTTGGCATCTACAAGCACTAAAATGATCACATAAATACCATTTCTTCATTACATCTTTTGCCACTAGGGCAAAAGAGAGACCAACAAAAATTTACAGTTTCAGCTAAGTGTTCCATAAAGCTTTCAGCAATGAATTTCATGTAATGCTTTATATGACATCATATCTCACCTCAATTTCCCCTCCAAAAGAAGCTCCGTAAACCAAAATCTTTTTGGGAACACAACCACGAATTACACACCTGTAAATCTAAAATGTGAGACAGCATCACCATAAAAAAAGAAAAAAAAAATTTAGAAAGTTAATTAATTTTCAGTAATCATTCCCAATTAATCAAGTACAATTCCTCAATGATTAAAATGTTTCAAAGATACAATAAGAAGAAGAATCACTGATGAAAGCACTGCTTTTGAGCAGCATGTCCTACGACCCAGCATTACGCCAGAAGCAATAGCAGCACTCTGTTGAGAATTTTACATTGCGATCTTTTTTCATATAGTTGATTTGGAAATGTTTTCTATCATATAAAATACATACATATATATCATACATTCTGTTGAGAAATTTGTATTAAGATTTACTCGGGTTTCAATCAATTATAAGACATTTAAAACCTAATAAAAAGGGAATAAAAAAAATAAGCTACTCAAGTCTACAGGGATCATATCAATAAAAGAAAGGGAAATCGAGATGTACTGGTCAAGAACCAGAGCTGCCAAGCAAGACTACAAGAATAAAGAAAATTTCTACTAAAGCTAGTTTAATCAACTTACGTTCCACCAACTCCCCCAACTACTTCTGTGCTGATTGGATGAAAAGGAAGCTCGCAAATCCCAACCTTGAAAGATGATATACAAAAACTGTTAGTGCATATTTAACCGCTGATTGCTTAAGTGTAATAAGTAAAAATGTTTTAGGGAGAACAATATCTAAAGTCTTCACAAACTCTATGCAAGAAATCATCAAAAGACTAAATGGTGACCCTCAACCCATCACACAATTGCAACTAAAAAGATAAACAGTAAAAATGTTTTAGGGATACTTATATCTAAAGACTTCACAAAGTCCATGTACATAGTCTTTATAGTATCAACACAAGAAGACACTTCACAACAAAACAATAGCATAAACTTGAATTGATTTCAACAGACACAAAAATGAACAAAATATTCAGTCACTTGTTTAATTTTCAAAACTTATACCTTAGCTCCAAAATTAGCCGAAAAGCGAGAGGCGCGAACGCCACCACTTCCAGCTCCAATGACAAACAAATCAAAGTCATAGTGAGCATCTCCTTCATCGGCCTTGCTCAGCTCCCCATCATTAAGCATCTTCCTCGCCATGGCTATGTAACTAATTAAAGTGAAAGCCACACAAACAGCATAAATTAACACAAAAGAATAAAGAAAACAGAGTGATTATCTCTTCGGATACTCAAAAAATAGACTAAAATAATAATAACGAATCCAATACTAAGTTTTTTCCATCATTCTAGGAAACCAGACGAATCAGTTTAAAAATAATATTAAATTAAACAAACAGAATGTATAAAAATCATCACAACAGAATCTATAGAACAAATGAAAAAACGTGCAAGCTAAATTTCACGAGAAAAATACATTCAATATTTCAAGATCAATATCATTTAAAAAATATGCATAAACAAATAAATTCATAAGGACGGAAGGCAAGGTTAGTGAAATTAATTAATTTTCCTACAAATTTTCCCGAGAAACTGCGGAATATAGCGAAGAGATCATACCTAAGAGAAGTGAGAGAAAGAGAAAGGAGGAGCGGAGGGCTTTAGAAAACAGAAAATAAGAAAATGAAAGAAAAAATGTGAAATTAAGAGGTGGAAATGGAATAAATTGGGAAAGAGCAACGCGAGCGAGAGTGAATAATGGAGAGACAGTTATTATTTATAATAATGTTATTCTATTAATTACAATTTAACATGGATTTAGAAAGGAAAGGTAGGAGGACAAGAAAATCAAGTTTGAAATTTCAAATTTGACTAACGATTTCAAAGCTAGCAAGCTGGATTACGATTCATCCTCTCTTTAGGTAATCGGAAGGAAGTTTCCAAAAACGTTATTATTCTTTCTACCTTTGGTGTCTAAAACCAATGCGATCCAGATCCATTATTATTTTATTTTTATAATAAATTAAATTTATGAATCTCTTAGTTGCCACGTCATCGCCTATGAAATATATCTATAATGGAACATTTCACAATATCATGTCTTAGTGAAAACTATTTTATTACCCTTTGATTTTTTACCATAACAATAATATATTATCTAAGATCCCAAATTGAGATACAAACCATCAATATACTACTACTTTCATCTTCTTCCATTTCGAGAGAAGATCCACACCCAAGTTCCATAGCTTTGAGTCCATTATCTTGATCACGATTTTTCTACCATCAAATTTTTCAATCGAAACCCAAACTCAAGTCTACATGAGGGGTGTCAATTGAGCCAACGGCTCTTTGATTTTACCATAACAATAATATATATCTAAGATCCCAATTGAGATACAAACCATCAATATACACTACTTTCATCTTCTTCCATTCGAGGAAGATCCACACCCAAGTTCCATAGCTTTGGTCCATATCTTGATCACGATTTTTCTACCATCAAAGTTTCAAGTCGAACCAAACTCAAGTCTACATGAGGGGTGTCAAGTAGCCAACGCTCGGACACGGCAAAGGTGGCTCGAGCTCAGCTTTTCGAGCCAAGCTGATTTTGATGGCTGACTTATGACTGAGCCGGTTTGAGTTTCATGGTCCCGACTCACAGCTTCAAGGAGCTCGAAAGGGTATTTCTACTATTTAGCAACTATGGGGGTTATATGTGATTTAGAGTGTGCTTGAATCCCAAATTTGAAAAATGACAAACACCACCAGTCCAAATAATGTGATTTGTAAAATCGAATTCGAAATCGAGGTTAGAATTAAACTTAGAAGAGTGGAAGTTAGAAACCCTAAATCCCCAAACTTTTTCTATAGAACTTATTTGTCGTTGACACTACTTCTTTCTACATTTAGTTCACAAGATGCTAGATTTGTCTCTAATCGCCAACAAAAACAATGAAGGGACGAATCCAGACTCAAGACGTTGTTGGTTTCCCTTTCACTGCCTTAGTCGACCGCTTCTTCTGTCGTCCCGTCACCGGCAACGCCAACTTTGTCTCTAATCTTGCGGAACTAATAGGGAAAGCATGACGCTATTTGTTTCCTTTTCATTTCACTGCCTTCAATGTTTGCCTCGAATCTTTTCATGACTCTTCAAAGGTATAATATAATATTTTCAACTCCTTCATGCTTGTGAAAAGTTGTAGTTATAATCGAGCTTGAATAGAGACAAAAATCCTCAAACTCGATTCTTAGGCTAGCCAAGCTCAGCTTGAACTCGCAGTACTGTAGAAACGAGTCGAGCTCGATAAGCCAAAAGCTGGCTCAGTTCAGCTGTTTACACCCTAGGAAGAGGGAGACAAAGGATTGGACAATTTCCTTTGGCACATGGAGTGTTACTATGATGCAATCAAACAATTTGACAAAAAAGAAAAGGTAAATCAAGCCAATATGTATCTTCATGACATTGTTGCTACTTGGTGGTGTAGAAAGTATGTTGAGGTAAAGAGTGGGACTTTGTGTGGTAAAAAGTGGACTTATGTTAAGGTAAAAAATGGGACTTGCAAAATTGGGACATAGGAGGATCTTAAGAATGAGCTAAAGTGTCAATTCTATCTAAGAATGTGGCTCATGATACAAGGAGAGAATGAAGAGTTGAAACACATTTGTTCTATAGCAAACTATGTCAAAGAGCTTTATGGACTATAGTTAGATTAATAACGTGAGTGAGGACGATCGCTCTTCAATTTCATAGATGTACTTTAAAATTGAGCTCAACAAAAAATACAAAGGCATAGGGCGAAAGATGTGTCCTTAGCCATGACGATAGCAAAGACCCCCAAGATTATCGAAGAAATGCTCTTCATCTAAACTGAAACATTCCAATCAAAGTATGGAAAAGGTGAGAGAGTGAAAGAGTTTCATTCCAATGACGAAAAAAGCCAAGCACCACTCAAGAAGGAATGGAATAAGGAAAAAAAAAAAAACAGGCTTAGAACAACTATTTCATATACAACAATCCACACTAGTAGTCAAAATGTCCAAAAAAAATGTTACTAAATGCCACCATTGAATGAGAATCAGGAAAAATATTCAAATAAGGTCTTTACAACTCCTCAATGCCTTGAATGAATTTGGTTCCACTTAAGCAAATGAAAAATCTCTAATGACGTGGAAGCTCGCATCAATAGGAAGGCTATTCAGTCATGGTAAACATGAGGGCTTCTCATAATTTATTCGGAAGGAGGAAGCCAATAGGTTAGGCCTCAAGGTTGAAAAAGGGAATAGTTGGTTGAACACAGTGAATACTGAAGCGAAACCTCTTGTGGTATAGCACATGATGTGGATCTACATTAGGCACATTGTTGGCAAGGTAAATATTTCAGTTTTTTTTCTCTTGATGATTTGACATCGTGCGGGTATGGAATTTTCAAGCAGTTTTACATTGTACCATTGCCACGCTTCAACATTGTTGCATCTTGGAGGGAAACTCGTGTGATTCCCATATTGATGAAGGCCACAGGACAAAGCCAAGCGACAAACCACATCTTTCTTAGCAATGAAATTGAAAAAATGAGAAACGGGAAGAGCCACATATTAAGCCATTATGCGCTCAATGGAGATGGGGGTGATGGCTTAGTGGAAAGGTACCGAGATAGATTATCAATGTCCTCGAGAATCACAAGGTGTAATGTCGCCAAAATTGCCTAAAGGTTGCCACCTAGGGGGAAGGTGAATCACCAAATTGAGCTCAAGCCTAGAGTCAAACAACTAGCAAAAAGTCCCATTACTGACTTACCACCTGAGCTAGATGAGTTGAAAAGACAACTCAAGATTTGTTGGAGTCGAGATTCATCCAACCATTAAAGGGTTATAAAGCTCCAGTCTTATTTCAGAAGAAGCATGAGGGTTTTTACAGTTGGGTATCAACTATCGAGCATTGAATAAGGTAACCATAAAAAACAAGTACCTTATTCTTTTAATTGCTAACTTTTTGACCAGTTGGAACATGCCAACTATTTTATGAAGCTTGATTTGAGGTCGGGATATTACCAAGCGAGAAATAGTCAAGGGTGATTAATACAAAGATGTCTTGTGTGACTCATTCTAAGGCATACGAGATCCTCGTGATGCCTTTTGGATTTACAAATACACTAGCCACTTTTTGCACACTCATGAACCAGATTTTCCATCCTCACTTAGACAAGTTCGTAGTGGTATACCTTGACGATTTGTCATCTACCAGATAAGCTCGAGGAACACGTAGAACATCTCAGAACCATTTTTAAGGTGTTGCAAGACAAGAGTTATATGTCAAGAAAGAGCAAAACTGTTCTTGCTCTACCAGAAGTAGATTTTTTTTGCCACAGGATCAAAGACAACAGACTTATAATAGACAAGGAGAAAGTACAAGTTATAACGAAATGGGAACTTTCTTTAAATGATAGAATGTGTTCTTTCATGGGGCTTGTGAACTAGTATTGTCGGTTCATCAAGAATGCTCCACTGACCAACTTACTAAAGAATACAATGGGTTGAGAGTGGTCTAAGTAGGTCAAAAGGCCTTTAATGACTTAAGCAAGCAATGATGGAGGAACATGCTAATCGTACGGATTATTCCCAACTTTTTAGGTACACATTGATGCTTCTAAGGGGTGTTTTAATATAGGGAAGCATCTTTAGCTTTCGAGAGTCAAAACTCAATGAGACGAGGAACCGATATATAGTCTAAGAAAATGAGATGTTGTTATCATACATTGCTAGCAAATTTGGAGGCATTACTTATTGGAGTCTAAATTCCTAGTGTGGACGAACAATATGGCAACAAGCTACTTCTAAGTCAGAAGAAGTTGAGTTTGAAACAAATAGGATAACAAGACTTCTTGGCAGAGTTTGACTATATCTTGCAACACAAGCTAAGGGTGGGCAGGTCTAGGTACCCGCCTAAAATCAAAGAAACCGAAACCGGAATTACGGTCCCTTTGATTTGGAACCGGAATCGGAACCACAGTTCAATTCTGGAAACCAAGAACTGGAACCTAAAACACTGGTTCCAATTCCGCTTCCGAGTTCCTAGAAAAATCTCAATTACCCCATATTTTTTTAAAATGACAAATAAACCCTTATAAAATTACATGACACCCCTAACAGTTTTCAGAAATGACAAATACACCTTGCATCTTTACAAAAATTACAATTATTGCAACATCCAAGTACTGTTCCCGAAATTAAATTACATAACACTTAAATAATCTTCTCAAAATGTTCCCACATTTCGGATGTGCGACTGCCCATGCGTTTTTGTATTTGATATCGACTCTCTAACATGAGGCATATCCTCAATTTCAATGTTTTCTCTAATTGATAACATGTTCCTGCAAACATTTAAGCAATCAGATACAATGAAAATAAAAAACTATATGATTCTGCAAAATGTGAGAAATATGTAAAGGCTTTCATGAAACAAATTTGATACTAATATGCTTATTGATTTTAAGTTTTAACTTACTTACTTTAGTTGATGCAGCCATGATTTTACATATATATACATATTTATTAATAATAAACCTGGTGAATCCAATTAACTAAATAAAGCAGATTTTTGTATCAAACAACACAATAAACTTTAAAACCTTAAGCGAATAAAAAAATCAAACTTTTAGAGAAGAAATTTTGGTTGATCTACTCACATGCATGACACACCATAACTTATTTTATCACTTGGCCGAAACATATTATTCTTCACATCATACATATACAAGCCAACACTTCAATCCAAAATATAATTAAGGCAGCAATATATCCCACAAAATTAACTCAACCAACATGAATTT